ATGACCCTGGTGAGGACTAATGGATGGACTGATGGACTTTTCTGGAGATTTAACATTAACTTTAGTCTATTTCCTATAATAACGTGTGTCACTCAGTGTCTCCAAGAATGAGGTGACTGTAACATGCAGCGTTAAAGGATTCGGCCACAACAGATTTTACAAAACGTCTTTTATTATCGTCTCAGGAATACAGTTGACTGCTGTGCACAGCACATACGTACAAAAATAAAAGGAAAACCATTTGTAATATAGTATTTTACTTACTCGTCATCATATTTTTCAGAAACAAATGATTGGAGAAGTCTGTTGTTTCAAACTAATTTACAATCATTTCAATAATCGGAACTAAGGCAGAAGGTGAGGTATATGTTAAAAAAGAGGAGGGGGACTCAGAGGAAGCACTCTCCCCTCAGTGCAGGAATAGAAAACTGAGAGAGAAACACAAAGGCTGCCGGCACACAGGGATGCACACTCACGCACACAAATCTGATCCCAGATCCGCCCAACAGACCTCCGGTTCCCTGTGAACCAACACATTTTAAAACCAGCTGAACAGGTAGAATAAGCACGATGGCACAATCCAGACACTGGATCCTTAATCAAAGGGGTAAGACGTACTAGTCCGGTCAGAACTCTACATGCATAATGAGGAATTAAGGAAGTCAGGGGGGTGTTTTCTCACCGTTACCTACTTTCTTTCACTCACTGCTACATCCTACAACCTTTTCTGCCTCCAAACAGCATCATGCAAAAGTTGTAGAATCTGCAGCAGCAATGTTTCCTTCAGACTTCATCATCTGGCAAGCTTTGAACATCTGACACCAAGCCGAGTCGCTTTCGGTGTGAACAACATCGATTTCCCACAATATCAACGTATCAGGTGTCCCTTACAGTCCCGAGGAGCCTTTGTGACGTTACAGCCCCCGTTCTGCCCCTCTGTTGTGCTGACAGCGTCCTCTGAAACGCACCGTAATAAACCAGATAAATGACACACAGTGAATAACACATCTAAAACAAGTCCGTCGTGTTCTTGCATGTCAGCTTGTTTCGATGGGTGGGGAGGGAGAGGGAGGGGAAACAACGACTAGTCCTGCTCAGAAAATTGCACTCCATACAAAACGTTTGCACCTTTTTTTAGTATATATTCATAAATTAGCAAAAATAGCTCGCCAGCCAGCTCCTCACTGCCACGAATCAGCCAAGAAAAAGCTACAACCGATCGTTTCTTCTGCCGATCAGAGTGATATGATAAAAAAGGCTGATCAGTCAAAATGAGTGATAAGATGCTCAAGGCAACATCCCCCCTCCCCCCACCCCCCAAACACAACTATCAGTAATATTCAAACACATACACGACATCCTGGGAGTCTCAGGTTGCTCTTTTGGATCACAGTATTCAGTCCACCAGTTCACGTCCCTTTTTCCTGGAAGCATTTGATTCAGTTTTTTATTATTATTATTATTTGACTTTACGTGGCCTTTTTGCTACATAACTACAGTCAGTGCTTTCTTCTCAACCCTCCACAGCCTCTACGGTGGCTCTGTAAAATTATTTTTTTAAACCGTCCGTCTCGTCTTTGTCCTTCTCCTGAGCGCACGCTGCATCAGCCCAGCGCAGTCAGACAATGCCCTGTTATTCCTGACTCAAGGTAAATCGATCTGATACCATCTCCGCCGTCAGAAACATGACGGGAGCGCGCTCAGTCGGACACACGTGCACACAAACGCACTCATTCGCTCTGGCCGGATGCAGCACATTCGCCTCTGCTGCTAGACAGAAGCTGGAGCTTAAAGGGCAGGTAAACCGTCGCTCAGCACGTTACAGTAATGACAGAAAGGGCACAAGGTAAAATATGAACAGCACATATCTATGAGAGCCTTTGCTACCTTTTTTTTAATCATATTTCACCAAGCTGGCCTTCTACTGGTACGATGCTACTCGCAGGATATTGCAGATCAAGTATGTGAATAAATAAAATCATGAAAACTCAGTTGCACCTCATTGAAAAGACTTTGCTCGCCACGAGGATAAATCCGTTAATACCTTCACTGCACGTTGCAAGACTTCATTGTTGTCGTTCTGTTTAGCCCAACAGGTGCAGAACTGGCTAGAGCAACAATTCAAAGCCCACATGAGGAACACCGAAGACGGAGCGTCTGCACCTCTAAAGATTCTCAGAGTCGTGCGCTGACCGTCCAGGCTGAACACCGAGGGGCCCACCTGCTCAGGTATTTAACCCTGCATGTTCCACATCCTCGCCAAGTCAAACAAACAATCAGTGCCACCTGCAGAGTCCCGTGTACGTCCATCTTTGCTGCCTTTGCTCTCTGACCCCTCTAGAGGAAAATCAAATACAGTATCTGAAAGGGGAGCAGTCGTTGAATTCAAGTACGGTACGCTGCACACACGAATTCTCAATCAACGCTGCTCCAACAACCCTTCTATGTTTTTCTTGCAACATTGCAGTGACCAATCTGAAATATGCATAAATAGCTTAAAAATCTGGGATAAATAAGCTTAATCCACTTTATCTACGTGTCCGACAGACTGAGTTGCCTTCAGTAGTTCTTGCAAACCCCAAGATCACAAATTATTTCCAACGAACGCAGCAGACCGTCGTCTTTACAGCGAATCGACTCATCGGCGACGTGTTCACTCTTCGGTTTCACTCGTTTCTGCATAAACACTTTTAGTGCCAGGCATCGTCAGTCCAGTGTGAAAGTCGAGCAGCTTCCCGTCGGCACGTTTGCTATAAACTAATAAATAAATTAATTAAATCTAGAGATCAGACGCAACAGATTGCATCAGCTCAGTTCGCACAGGAGGATATTTTCATAGTGTCAGGTCTATGATATTCTGCTACACAGACGCCCCCCCTCCCCCTCCCCCACTTCACAATGAACTAATGATAAAAAAAAAATAAATGAAGCTTCTCTCAAACTGAGCACATCCATACTTAAAATACCCATAAATACTGCTACACATTCACACACTCAATCTGGCCCGATGATCCGGCTACAAAACTCGCGAAAGTAAAACCTGGGATTGTCAAAGCTCCCTTGGACATGATGAGGGGGGGAAGGAGGGAAGGTGGGGATCGAGTGCTTGACTCTAAATCTAGCTTTCCATATTAACAAGAGGCTCCACTGGGTCCTGTGCAGCATAGAGTCTCAATTACTTAATTGATCTAATTATGGAAAGAAAATAAAGTAGAGAAACCTCTGGCACTCTAGGAATTGGGCTAAAGTCCCCACCGGGTGGTGTCTGAGGGAGTGATGACTCGCGTATCGTTCCTATTTCTGACTCGAGCACCACGTTTCTCGCATGCAAGGGTAAGGGGGCCGTAAGAAGGAATTTCAAGGCACCGCCACCTCATGACGAAGCAAGAAAAAAAAGCCGCCGCCATGTTTGCAAGTGCTCTCGTTGCCCTGACAGTGACAGAGACAATCGGACACGGCGGGACGGGGAAATGTCCTCGATGGATGACAACAACAAAAACATTTTAAGTAAACAGGCATTCTTCTGCGTAGAAACTTCATGCACACATTTCTCTTTTTCTTCTTTCTCAGGATATGGTGCTTTGAGGTAATAACGTATCCGTTTTCATTTCCAAAAAAGATGAGCTGTCATCCGCTGACAGGGCGAGGACTCGACCGATTCCAGCAAGCACCCATAAAAACCGAGGGGACACGTGACGCCTCTCCATCCCCTTCATACCACAAAATGGTGAAAATCATAAAAGCAGCAAAGAATGGCATTTCCATCATTTCTAATACAAAGTAAGCTACCCAAATATACATATAAAGTTTGAATAAATACTATCAGATATAACTGTATTTCTTTCTTTTGCAGTCCGTGTTTGTCTTTTTGTGTTTTGTACGTACGTATATGGTATTTATGTTACCTGGGAAATAATCCACATGTGCAAATAAGTTTTGTTATTGCCAGTTTTTGCTCGTCATATTCGGGGTAGGAAGTGCGTTACAGTCATGGCAGTGGTGGCCTTGTTGCCCCTCTTCACGCGGCCATGCTTGCTGAGTGCGATGTAGGATCCTCTGTAGACCAGAGACTCGTAGGCGTTGTAGTTGTTCGGGAGCAAGCTCTCCTTGAACTTGCACTCGTCATGGAAGACTGTCTGGAGGGAACAAAGACACAGAGGGGGCGTTTTAATGGGCCGCAGTTTGAGGCTGTGAAGACAACATTAAAAAGCTTTTTTTAAAAATAGATTGTAAGATAAATTTAGATCAGACGTAGTTGTAGGATCAGTTAGTGGACAGTTAGTGTAAAGTCGGCTTTGTTCAACCTGTTCAACTTCTTTTCTAGACTTAAATTCCACAATGAAGCAACTTTATAAACCAGAAAACATTTAAAACCCTCTCCGCTCATTGATTAACCCCTAAAAAAACACCCTGATGTATCAGTTACATAATTAGAAGGGTTTTTTTTATGTTAGTTAGATGTAACTGCACTGGTGCTTCTTCTAGAATGTGCAGATCTATGAAGCCCCACCTGCCTCTCTCTTCACGCTGCAGATCGAGCACACCAGCTCACCTACAACTCCACTGATGCAAACCTACTCCATGCTACACAATGGTACGATTTTTTAATATTGATCAATTTAAACATACATCTTCAAACCAATGCCCGATTCTAAAGCCCCACCCTGCAAATTTAGAGGACTGACATCGTGGATTTGTTCTGTATGAATCCTCGAAAGTCCAAATCTATGTTTGTGACACATCGCTTCACTGCAGGTCCATGGTGGAAATGCTCAGCCACCGTGTTGACTGCTTCCTCCACTCATGATGTCTTTTGATATGTGTTTTAGGGCAGCAACTAATGATCACTTTCATTGTCGATCTTGTTGATCAATCAATGAGTTGTTTGTTTCCCAAAGCCCAAGACGATATCCTCAAATGTCTTTTTTTGTCTACAACCCAAAGATATTCAGTCTGCTGTCAAAGAGAAGATTTAAATTTAAGAAGCTATAGTCAGACAATTTGGACTTGAAAAATGACCAAAATAATTGGCAATCGCTGCAGCTCCAGTGTCGCCCAGCACATCAGAACACAGCATACAGACAGGATGACATGATACAAACCAGAGGGACTCTTTCATTCACCTGCACACAAAAAGTTCATCTGCTAAATCAGCCGATATGCAGCAGACACAGATCTTAAAGGAATATTTTGGAAAATGTTCTCTTTTCTGCGGAGTCAAAGCTTAACTTAATATGAAGACTGTAAACACATCGAGCCCGGCTGGGTTTCAGGGAAACATAATCTGCCGACCAACACCTCGACAGCTCAACGATGAATACGTCGTGTCTTGTTTGTTTAATTCATCGTCTCACCACAACTTTTCAAACCAGTTTTTATAGACTTGTCCACAGCGTGTTAGTCAGTCGCTGTTAGTTTGATTTAGTTGTTTCTCATGTTTTCACTCTCAAAGCTAAACCGGCTCCGGCTGCACACTCAGTGGACCCACATGAGAGTCACGTCGACCTCTAGCTTAGTGTAAGAACTCTTCCTCAAATGTCAGACTACCCCAGAAAACTATTTCAAAAGGGAAGTATTCAAGCCATAGCATTCAACATTCCAAAATAACATCAGAAGGACTTTCTGTGCAATAAAAACACTGATCTCTCTTTTCAACACAGAGTTGTTTGTTATATAAGAATCGTCTCTAAACTTTAGCAGCTCTGCAGAACAATACAGCTGCTGTGCTGTGCTGAGCTGGCAAAGCACGACATGAACAGTGTGCAGCAGCAAACACTCTCCATCAGAGACCATGTGGCCTAATTCAATCTCTTATCAGATCATCATGCTGCTCACAAGCTAACGCTTCGTCACTCAAGACCAGATAAGCGACTCGCATTCTGTCTGTCAAACATGTCTGCCACAACAAGCGGCCCAGCAGCCACGTGTCAGCGCTCAGCTACACCGACTGTCCTCCTCCACCACCGGCAGCCTTCATGGACTAATGGCCGTCACCGTTTCACCCTCAAAGCAAACCAGTTGTGGCTTTTAAAAGTAATTTTAGCAATTCTACAAAGACGCTTTTATCAGCGTGCCGCCATCTGACAGGCGTAGCGGTGTTATCTTTGGAAGTTTCAATGAAATCTGATAAGAAAACATCAGCCAGCAGTCATGTCTTTGCATCATGTTTGTTTAAGGACACGTACTGAGCAGAAAATTGGCTGTGAAAAAATACATTTGCCAAATCTCTGGTGGGTTCAATGGAGCTCAGACCTGGTTTCTTGTACACCTGTATATTTGCAAAGAGCTGAACTGGCCAAATTAGAACAAGATAGCAATAAAAACACATAGAAATAGTCCACGAATGAAGAGCTTTCACACAGTTCCTTCATCTAAGATCTAAACCAAACATTAAAAGTCCTGTTTCTCTGAAAACCTTGTCATCAGAGTTCATATTTCCAGGGAACAAACATCCAGCAATGGAGACTTAAGTTATGAGACAGATAAAACATTTTAAAGGTTTGCTGGTGGTTCAGGAAGCTCCACATTTTCCAAATAAAAAGCCCATTTTTTCCATTATTACTTCAAAGAAAATGCTTCAAACCTCGATGAAATGCTAAATAACCTACAAAGACAAGTCTTTAACACAGCTGACAAATACTGAAATGTACTTCAGACATTCAGTCCTGTGCAGATTGTTGGTCTTAAACTACGTATGAAACACTGTCTGGTGAGAATCACAACAACAAAGGTTTCCAAATTTAGATATTTTCTGGGATCTATACTTCAACACTCATTTCACAATCAGTACGACTCATCCGAAAGGTTTCTTCATGAGCGTTTGGTGTTTCATTAAAAACACCTTGTAAGTGTTGGAGGCTTCTCAAGAATTTCAATGTAAAGAGGACAGACGTATATCTGAGTCATAATGAGCCTTAAGAAGCAGATGCTGCTCTTTCTGCAAAGATATCTGACCTGAAAATCAAATTCAAATGCTGTCGTATGTCAGATGTGTTTGAAGGCTGAGGAAGCTGATGGCAGAGGGTCCCTTTGCCTCCCAACGTGTTTCTGATGTGCGCTGTCCTGCAGAATAAGCACTTTGCCATTTTAAATCGATTCTTTAGCCCTGCTGACAGGTTTCTCGGCGTCAGGGGGGGTTTTCCCTCCTCCTCACACACACACATGACCACATTACAGGCCTGCATCTGTTAACCTCATCATTATTTACCCACTCAGGCCAACAGGCCCGGCGCGCTTTACTTTAAATAGAGCTTTCTAAATTACGCATGAAATTAAAATATGTGGATTTCGCCACACACACACACACACACACACACACACACACACACACACACACACATAACGGCGCAGCCAAGCAGACAGAGCAGGAGTCTCATCCCCCGAAATATAGCAGACAAATCAAAGACAGATAAATAAATAAGGCGGATCAAGCTGCGTCCTCGTTTCAGGATCCAATTAAGCAACACTGCCGGACAATAGATGAAATCATGTGCATACCTACCGTTCCGTATAACCTTCCACGACTGTTCATTGCGACAAACAACTCACTCTTCACCCCATACAGGCTCACCACTCCTCTCTCCACCGTGGAGATCTCTATTAGACCTGATGCAGGACAAAAGAATGATGACATTAGAGTGGGAACAGCACAAATAAATCATTTGGAATGACACAGCAAAGCCGAGCATCATCCTGACTAACTGGGTGCTTTAACGCGGGGACAGCAGCGGCTCCTTCTCTGCGTCTATGGGTGTAACCTGCAGGTTTTGCTGCGCAGCATGCCGAGCCTTTGTTCTGCATCTTTCACTCCATCTTACATTTTTTTTTCTTTTTTGCATCCCCCCCTCAGGCGCGTCAATTAAGCGCATTCTGAGGCCATTGCAATAATTGCAGTTAATTGCATTGACGTGCACGGCTATTGGTCTCTGGACCGCCCTCACAGGGGCTGCGTAAAAATAAGTTGTGTCTAAAAGCGTCCATACATTCATGACATGGTTGAGCTTTGGGGAGGAGGAGGAGGAGGAGGTGGGGGAGGAAGAGGGGTGTTCAGGACTGATGGATACTTGTTTTTAATAGATTTGTCTTTGCCGTGGAGGAAATCCAATTCTCCCTTCTGAGTCGGATGAGATATGATCATGCAAATTAATAGAGGGGATAGACTAAGCGCTGCTCATCGCAGATCCATGCTTATTGACTCTGCCTCTCTTTTATGTCTATTGCATTACATCGGTGGAGGTATAACTCACTGTACTGGTTTTCATTATGTACACCGTTTATCCTGCCGTCGGGGAGGATCTGAAGGTGAAACCCGATGCCCACGTTGCAGTAGAGCCTCCGCACTCTTTTGATGCCCAGCAGATAGTCACTCTCCCAGTTCAGCTCCGGTTTCTCCCCGGAGATCCCCAGCACAGAGCGGGAGAACAGGGTCTCCCATCGCTTCTCCAGCAAAGTTGCATTCGTCCTGCTGCTCGGTAACGGGTACGCTGACACGATCCCCAGCAGAAAGCCCAGGAGAACCACCGCGGTCAGCGTCCAGTGCGGCGTGCCGGCCTCGCAGGACATACTGACGAGGAGCCTTTGCGCAACGGCCATCCGGTTTACCTTCGGGCCACGTGGTCGAAATTAATGACCCTAAAAATACCGCTCTTCTTGTTTTGCTTCCTTCGGCATGCTGGCTGAGGGTTATTTTTGGAGCGCGGATCGGGGCTTTGGGCATGAAACGCAAGCCCCGGTGCAGAGGAGGAGAGGAGACGGGAGAGTGCGCGGCAGAGCTGGAGGTGATGGTGATGGTGATGGTGATGTTGTTGCTGGTGATTACCATGTTTTGCAGCTCCTCCGCGCCCCTCTCTCTCACACACACACACTCTCTCTCTCTTCCCCCCTCTCTGTCTGTCTGTCTCTCTCTCGGTAAAGAGTTCGGGATGAATCCTCCTGGCTACCACTCACCAAAAACCCTGCTTCAACCTTGCCAGGGCGACCGCATCCCTGGATGACATCATGCTGACTTCACCGCTGGGATAACGCAAGTGTAGATAGATAGAGAGGGTGCGGGCAGCAGGAGAGAGGAGAAGAAAAAAAAATACCAAGTCTGTGGAGAGTTGAGGGGAATGGCTTGCTGTCACTGCTGGACTGGAGAAGGGAAGAGAGCTTATTGGTGGCGGCCTCGGACGCGATGGGGCACTCGGGCTGCTCCCAAATTGGGTCGGTGGTCATATGTCTGTCAGGCCGCTTCCTTATTTAGAAGGAAGGTGTAAAAACAGGCCCACTTGTCACCGGAGAGCAATGACAGGGCTCTTGTGGTCCCACTTCTTCTGCATGCGCCGTTCAAGAACTTTTCCCAGCAAATCCAATGTTTTTCCACCAAACAAAAAAAAACCAAACAAAAAAAAAACAAAAGACAGGTCAGCTGGAGCGGAGAGCCGACAGGGCGTCCGCTGGCTGCCACAGATCAGGGGTTCAGGACCTCATGTCGGCCAGCATCCGCCCTCCTGACGTGTCCTTGAGCAAGACACTGAGCCCCAATCAGCTGGCTGGGTAACGGAGGCCCGCTGACATTTTAATCATGTCATATTCTGCGTGTACACCGTGTAAGCCGTGCGTTTCCCGGGGCGCATTCGTGAGAACTATGAGAGAAAACTGGAGAGGCCCGTCATGAAATGGCACACATTGCCGGCATGCCATTCCCTCCGACATGAAAGCCTATCGTCTTTTCCATGTAATAGATAATGCCACCAGCAGCATGCCCATGCGTCAGCCAGGCCAGCGCAGTTGCGCACCAGCAGCTCTCCCGCACACATCAGTTCCCCGAGATTTCCAAAGGATGGCACCATTTCCAAGTTCATGTCAGCCGCTCGTGTGGAGCCTTTGGGCTTCAGCGCCCGTAGAAGTGAACTGCAGAGATTTTCTGGCCTCTGCAAAAAAATGTGTTTCAACTCAAATGACTCATGTCTAACAACACTGTAATATTTTAGGTTTAAATCATGGATGCACCAGTGACACGTTAAGGTTTCATAAAATGACTCAAAGACAACTTCTCATTGACAATGCAGTTCTTTTATTTTGTATAAAATCTATTTGGTAACTGCATATTTATACACAATCTGATAGATGTAGAATGAAAATGAAATACAGGATTTTTTGTTATGGCTGAATGCATTAATGGCAATGACACAAGTGACTGAAATCTTGTGATTAAAAAAAGAAAGAAAGAAATCCATATCAAAACAACTTCTGGCCTTAACATAGTCTGACCATTGGCACTTCTTTTAATCAAACTGGGCATTTGGTTTCGGGCAACAAGGAGTGAAAAGAACTCCATTGATTCAGCTAAAGATATCTGTCGAGTTAATCTGTTTAGTTAAATATAACAGATCTGTGATAAGAACAAACAAGTGGTTATATAAGACCCAGATAAAGCAGTATTGACAAAATGACAAGATTTCTTATTTGCACTAGAAAAAACAAACAAACAAACCCAGCTCAATGCATCTCAGTTGTGTAACAGGAGCTGCGATGATAACGACACTTTAAGTTTTCACGTCTGCGGCTGACTCGATCCACACTGACAGCAGATATGCAGCAAAACGCTGTGATGTTGCCAAAGCTACAGGAGAAAGTGGGTACGGTTAAAATAAATTATAGCTTTGAGGACGCTTCTATACCATATCTATACAAATAATTTATCTTTTTCACAGAAACAGCCTTCACCCCTGCACCTATGAAAGATGCCGCAGAGTCCAATAGTTTAATACATGCTATTTTGTAATAAAAGCATAATAAATAAATACATATGTACAAAACATGTTTGAAAAATGTACAGGCACTTTTTTTTTTTTAATATATCTCGTAAAATCAACCTTTTTGTGACGCTTCAGCTACTGCCACACAATATTTTCCTGTGTGTTTCAGGGTGAGAGGATAAGTCGGCTGCTTGAGCGTTCTACTTTGCAGTAATGTCAACATGACAAATCCTCTGCTCCTCCATGCTGAGCACAACTCAGGCAGCAAGTTCCTTCAGGACTATTTGTATCTGCAGAGCCTCATTTATTACCCCTTGTGTAGGATCAGACCCAAAAAAAAATAAAAATCTTAAATGAATTCACTTGCTGGTTGAGACACAAGCGGTGGTGATTACATCTTGTGGCCAATTTAAAAAAGCTCAACTGAAAGCCGCAGTGCTTCGCAACATACAGCAAAAAAAAAAACTCCATACACTTGAGTCATATCACTTTTCATTAACATCTCACTTCAGCATTACTCATGCTTTCCCTTAGTCCACGTCACTCACACACACACACACACACACACACATCCTTAAACTCGGCGTGGCCCTCTGCCCATCCATACACAGCGACCACGCTCGCGTGATTTTCAGTAACAAAATGTTTCCGTTTACTGCGTGACTTTTTTTTTTTTGGTCTTTTTAGGAACGGGTGCTCTGAGACGTCACCCTATATGTTCACCACCAGCATTACGTAACGAGTCCATCTGGATGCACGAGATTGTCGTTTGAAAATGCAGTAAAAAAACAAAACAAAGCGAGACTTTAGGCAACAGGAACAGTGGCAAAAAAAAAAGTAAGTGTATGAAAACAAGTTGAGACGACTCTGTGAGCCAGAAGCAGAGCTGAACACGATGAGCGGACCGCTAGACCAGACTTCCCTTGATTATCTAGACGGAGGACGCTCGCTGTGGTATTCCAGTTAAACAGCTTCATTCTTAAAGCGTCACAGTCGATGACTTCACCTCAGCAGGTTGCATAACAAAACTCCCATAGGGATAATACAGTAGGATTGTATACAAAATATTTTCAGTAAACCTGTTCATTAAGTAATAGGTGACATTAAATTGGGGGGGATACTAACTAACGATGGAGGCAGTATCAGAGTACAGGGAAAGGAGTTCACTAATCGTACCTATGAAGTCAGTGTACTGATCGTGCTGATGCCACCCGGGTTATTCTGAGCTTCAAATAGCTGACAGAAAATCTACTGGGAGTTGCATTATGGGAACTGTAAGAGAAATCATTTTGCCAACCCATCATAGGGGCTAAATGGCAAAACATTTTGACCACACTTTGTTAATCTGTATCTCACGGGTCCTGACTTAAAGGTGGAGTCTGCAGATCGGTTTTAGGAGGGCAACATCCACCAGTCATCTTGTCAGTGTGATGTTACGGTGGGAAACCCTCAGTGCTGGGATTCATGGGGACACTTTCCACCTACCTATGACCAAACTATGGCAATAACACGCCTCAGCAGCCGCAACCAGCAGGACAATGTTCCCTGCTGCTACGAAAAAGCTGCTCAGGTGCAGCTTGAGAAACACAACCAAGAGCCCAAGGCGATAACTCAGCCTCCAAACGCCCCAGATCCCAATCTGATCAGGTCTCATCCCGCAACCCACAGGACCCTAAAGATCCAGTCAACATCACAGAACACCCCCAAAGGTCCCGCGTCCATGACTCTACAGGTCAGAGCTGTCATAAGGGGGACCTACACAATACTGGTCAGGTGGTTTTATTGTTGTGGCTGATGCGTGTAGAGCAGGTAGTTTTCTCAGTGCTGACACAGAACGGACAGCGAGCCAACCACGAGGTAAAATTAGCCAAATCTGACCAAAAGTAATAAAATAATAAAATCGCAGACTCCACCTTTAATGGAGCTGCAGCTGTGTATGACTGGAGCACCCGTTATATCCTGGACAGAGGAGTCCCAGTGCTCCCACTGGTGGTTCTGGTTTCTAAACAAATAAAAACAATGCATTCATGCATCCATTCTGTGCCGAAAGACAGGCATGTCTCACTGAGGATCCCTCAGGAGGAGACAATGTAAGATAAGATAAAACTTTATTGATACCTCAAGGGGTTTAGCTTCTAATTAAAATTGAAATAAAATAAGTAAGATGCTGACTGCACTCCAGAATGCCTTATTGATGCTGCAGAAGAGCCTGCACAAACCAATACTGTCTGAGATGTTTGTTTTGAGTACAAAACAGGCTGTACTTCTAAAAACTGTGGATAACTCAGCATACGATAATTAAAAAAAACAACAACACACACACAAAAACAGGTTAGTCACTGTGTAGCTGAGGTTGATGAGTTCTACAGTAAATCCATTTGATGGTTCCTGAGGAAAAAGATGGACTAAAATGTCACAACAAAAGGTTTTAGAGACGTCTATAGAATTCAACAGCTCTCAGTACAGAATGTACCGCCCTGACCTGAGCACACACTTGGTGTTGACTCTTCAGGTGGCAGCAAACAGTTCCTGCTGTTACATGGAAGCCGCATGATACTGGCAGATAACACGGCTCCAGTGGCTTTTACTTTTATGAGCCACATCACGTAAGCTGCCCCACACCGACAAACACACTTTCTAAACGCGGAGCTTTCATAAAACCAAACCGATGGTACTAGCACAAGGCATTCTGGGAACAGTAGTGCACTGCCGAGCTCCAACCATGGAACCTGAATGACTGACTGATTTGTTTTGATTCTATCTCCGTCCCATCTTTTGCATCCACAGCTCAGCTTCTGAGGTCCTTTTGGTCAAAGACAATCTGACTGGCCAGGTAGATGGCGACGGCTCCGAAGATGGCAGAGCAGGCGATGTAGGCAGTGACCGACTGTGCGAACTGAACAATCATGCCCATGAAGAGGGTGGGAAAAACCTGAGAGAGGAGAAAGGTGCTGTCTAAAATGGCAAAGTCCAAGCCCACGCCACGTTTCTCATACCCCGACTCGGCCTCGTCCGGCTCAGCGCCCCCGGAGCTGTGAGATGAGCCGTTCTGGCTCTGTGGGCCGGGGTAGTACTCATAGCTGTCCTGGCTGAGGAAGGCATGCTTGTAAGGGTTGTGGTTAAGTCCAGCCTCCTCTTCCACAGGAGTCAAATACACAGAGTCCCGCTTGGCTGTTACGCCGTTTTTGTATATGCTTTTGGTTATCCTTTTTGGCATATAGACCTGAAATAAGACAACAAAAAACAGCCAGTTTAATCAAAAATGTTGATTGTTCTTAACATACTGTCTTGTTTATAACGTTGTTACTCGTGTTCGTACCTCTTTCTCCTTGTGGTAATGGCAGGTGAGTGTGTAAGGCAGGGTCTGCAGCGTTGCGTATGCGTAGCCAGTGAGAGCTGCCATTACAGTGACCAAGACGACGCTTTTTGACAGGCAGATGACCATCGCAGAGGCAGTGAAGCTCACCATACTGCTCAGGTAGACCCATCGGGACCCAAAATGGCGAACCAAGCGACTCATAACCAGAGAGAAGAAGGTTGAGGTAGCACACTGCAGGAACAGGCCCAGACTGCCCATACGGATTCCTGAAAGAAAAATGTAATCAGTATTCCAACCACAAAGCCAATGAAGGATGGCTGCAGTTGAATAGTCTTGATTGTGCTGAGGATTGTTCCTGAGTAAAATGACTCAGTATCTGAGCAGCCAATGACTGTAACTGTTACACAACTTTGCCCTATGTTGTTGTCAGTTTAAAACTACCAAACATTTTAAAGTGTTTCCTTCTATGGCCACATCCAGTAACTGGTGCACAGAATGCCTGACCAGAGCTGAACCCGTGTGGCTGAGCCAGAGAACCTTCTGTTTGGTCAGGGCCATAAACAGCAGGAACAGATCTGGTCTGGGTGTTATTCCCAGAGCTCTGCAGCAAGGACACACTGTTTGGATTGACTAACTTGGACTATCACCGACAGCATTAACCTTAGATAAATCCCTGAAAAGCCTGAGAGAGCGAGGTACACAGGCAGGTCCTTGTTTACTGAGGCCTCCTGTCCCAAGTCTGGCCAAGTTAGCGAGCCAGACAACAAGCGTTTGGACGAGGCCTCGCCAACTGACCAAGGTGGAATTTCAAGTTTAACAACAGAGGAAGAGCTGCAGACTCCGAGGCAAAATTAGATTCATTTATGCTGCCTGCCGTACTCGTCTACTGCGTCATGTCGAGCCACATTACTATATTATATAAGTAGAACATTTTAAACATGTGATGCACCCTGTTCTATAGGAGCAGCTCATAAAAGCACGGTTCCTGATAATGTAACTCCCAGGAAACAATGAACAGTTTAATCATAAAAAAAGGTTTAGATAGTTCTGAACACAGCAGCTTTTGCTGTGTCCTTTTCAACCTGTTTTTTTAAATAGATAGAAATATGAACAATCTGTTTTCTCAGAACCGGAGTCAGCAATGACAAATTTCGAAGGAAAAAGGGGGAGGAGGGGATTTCGTATCTCGTGGGAAAACTTTTTTTCCCAATGATGTTCCGAGCTGATCCCCATACACTTTTTACTCCTTAATTATCTTTTACGATTTGGTGCTAATACACGAACGCTGAAGCGATTCCATCTCCAGACGGTTATTTATTTCAGCTCGTTATCATCGTGATCTCCACTTGCTCTCAGTGAACAGTCTGGGTCAGAAGTTCAGCAGCAGAGCCGAGACTAACTTGTGTGGAAGGAGTTTGTGGATCATATTACTCCTGGAAAGCAAAGCTGGTCAGCCCACTTTACAAACACTACAGAAGCTAATGAGGACTGAAATTCAAGCCCGGAGAGATATGGGACTGAGCCAGAACGCTACTGAATCTGTGCACAGGACAACTGCTGCTGTCTGGGAAAATTACTATTCCTGTAGTACAAGCTTTACAGATAAATGCTTCGCACTGCAAACTCCCCAGCAGGAGAGATGATTACAAAACAACAGCAGTTACTGTTAAAATGAGGTACAACATCCTTACAACTGGAAACAAAGCAGATTACCCTCACGCACAGAAACATCTGCAGATCGAACGATGTGGTCGAATAACATCCGCGGTGCTTCAGATTAAACAAACAAAACTCAGACAGACCTCAAAAACTGTGTGCTTTGGCCGTCTACCTGACTTGAATGAACATGTTCTTTGTGTGCCGAATCCTTGACATTAATTCTTTGTGAGTGTGACATTCCTCCTGGTCCAGCAAGCACAGGGAGCGGAGACAGAGGGAAGTAGAAGGTAAACACAGTCAAGAGGGAAACCGAGGTGGACACAGAATGTGGATGGATGAAAATGTCGCATTAAAGAGGGCAAATGGTTAAAGAGTGAAATGGTTTAGAAGGTGGACAGCAGTAGGAAGGCACTGGTAGAATAAGAAGGGAAGCTAAAGCACCAAGTGAAGGTGAGACAGGAACTGAAAAAGCCAAAAGAAGGGAGAGAGACAGGATGTAGGATGGAAGTCTGGCTGAACAGTAAACAAAAAGGAGGCTCAACGCTTAACTCAGACACGGCCACCATGTTCATAAATCTGCACCTTCTTAACATGAACAGAGATGTGTCTGCCTCACATGTGTTTACTTTACCTTCATTGCTGTTCTTTCTCATTCACCGTCTGATAAAATACACCAAAGACAGAAGCCTTCCTGGCATGGTCTCGTTACACCACTGACACAACATATTTGTTCATCTTTATGAGCCTTCAGACCATCTTACGGTGAGGTGTGTTCTTACAGCTAAGCATTTGCATAGTTAAGGAACACAGCCATAAAAATGTCGTGCAGGATTAGTGACGGGCATTTACAGAGCAGGAAGGATAAAGACTAAGAATTTGTTGACAGTTTCTGAAGTGCAGGGGTGGAAAGTAATGCCTGAAATGCTGGAACGAAATGTTCACAATCCAATGTGAAGTGTTGTGTTGAAGCCAGTAAGGTAAGGACTCATCATTCAGTCCTTTAGCTTGACAAGAACCACAATGGATGCAAAAACACAGGGACTGTCACTGTGTTGTGGCAGACGGACGTGAGTGAACCCTGTCCAGCTGTGACAGGAGATAAAATCATGTGACACCAGAAGTAACACCCTGCCTTTAAATGTGCAGAACTAAAGTTGATGAAATGTAAGACTTTTTGTTGATGCCATGCTGTAAAATTAACAATAATGAGATAAATGAAGGCAGCAGCTCATATCTAGTGTGTGCACCACAGTGACATTTAGAGAGATACAACACATGAGCCTTCACTGTACTGACCTTCATCGTATTTTTGCCTGGACAGACTTCCTGGTAATGCACTGGGCACGCCCTCGTACAGACCTTCCCCCACAAAGTCTGTGTAGAAGAGCATGAAAGACATGACAGCCATCCAGCTACAGAGCTGGGCCACACACAGCTGCCTCATCACCCGAGGGACGTGGCAGTAGCTCCTGTAGATGGCCGGGGTCATGGACCAGCATGTTCTCAGTAAGCACAGCAGGGGTCCAGACTTCAACAGTCTCAGCTTGCACTTGAGCAGGTAGCAGCATGAACGCGGCACACCGCACCGGCCGGCCTCGATGGCACCGGGGCCCGACTCCAGTAAAGATCCTGATCCTGCTAAGCTGCTGCTGGCACACGAGGGCTCCTCCGACACCTTCATGGTGATGAGCACGCTAGAGATGAAGATGAGGATGAGGAGGGAAAACAGGCACTCGGCCTGGCCTCCCAGGTAAACTGAGAGCAGACCGCGACTCCAGTCCAGTGCAGGTAGCAGATAACCTACACAGCCTCCCAGGCTGACCATGAAGGAGAACATAGCGAAGGCTTGGCTGCAGTCGTCCTCGTCCCGGTACAGGTCTGACAGAAGAGCCTCCAACGGTGTGAAACACACTTGTCCACAAAAGTCAAGGAGCCCCACGCCAAGGATAAGGAAGCCCACCTGGAACGAATGACATAGAAAAAAGTTAGATTTTAAAGTTGAACAGTCTTTTTAATTTATTCAACTCTCAGCTGAATAATAAACAGCCAACAACCGCAAGCTGGTTTCTTGTCTGGTGCACTTTGAAGGTAGAATTTAACAAACAACAAGCATCCTACCTGGAGGGTGCGTCCACCCCAGGCAAAAAACTCTGCCAGGACGTCAGCGTGGGGAATGATGAAAAGTGCCACAAGAACTCCCAGAGACAACAGCCAGATGAAAGGCCGCCTTCTGCCATAACTGCTGTTGCAGTGGTCACTGGCCGAGCCGATCAGAGGGATGAACAGGAGGCCAAGCACCGGGCCAATACCTGCAGTAACAACCAGGAACACACAGGAAGTCAGAGAACACAGTAACACAACGCAGTGGAGAGAAACAGCACAGACACAAAGAAACTCAAACAATGCCACGTGCACAGGTGTATGAATTAACGCATTTATTTTCTTTGCAGAACACTGCATTCGAAAACCCTGATTGCATTTCTACTCATATTTACCTACCAGCTTTTCACTGTAGCCTGCGCCAAAACCACATGTCTAAAAGTCTCTGCTTTAGTTCACAACAGCAACTACGACTGGTGCTTTTCAGCCTGTCTTCAGGTCGTCCTTGTAGCTGACCTACCGAGGAGCGAGCTGCATGTGTCCCTGTGCCATCATCGCTGACTGCTGGTGATGGTTGGTACAGATGGCCTGCTGCCTGAAGGTAGCAGCTCATCCTCCACACGTGGCTGGGTCTGGCTAATTAGAGCACACCATGGCACACTGGGTGTTCGCACACAGACACACGCAATATCTAAAATGACCCAATCTTGGGGCAAGCTTGTGACATTTAAAGGTACCCTGTGGAGTTTTTATTATAGTCAGGACGGATGCTATTTACATTCAGCGCTTCTCATCAGAAGGCATTTTGTCTATTCGTGCCTGCCCTCATGCACATGCGAGCAGAACAGATTATACAGACAATACAGGGACCTGCTCATCAAAATATTGGCATCACTAAGGGTACAAAACCGCACTGCAATCAAGCATGACAAGAATACACAATCCATTTTTGCTCTTTCTCTAGTTTGACAAGGAACTAAATTGTGAGAAGGCAGCCTAAAGGGTGCCGATGGAAAGCCCGGAGCTAGTAAGCCGGGAAACAGACGAGCACAGACAGCAGGACGGGCAGGCAAACTGAGAAAGACGGATACGTTGACTGCAGCCAGGCATTCATCCCCTCCACCACATTTCTTCCTGCGGCAGCTGTGGAGGCCCATCATAACAATCCTCACCTTCTACAGCTGTAAGAATTACTGTCTCACACTCTCTCCGCTCAGTAGCTACTCAATACTCCCTGCAACACACACCAGAGCACGCTTTGCCATCTCTGAATACAATGCAAGCTGCTTTCCAGCTCTTGTTTACAGACACGCACGTACATAAATGAGTGTGCTGGCTAACCTAACCCACACAGCACATATGAGCCTACCTAATATAAAACATGTCACATTTATCCACAGTGTGCTTTCTTACTTATATACACAACTAAATAGACTTTTTTTTAACACCCCAGTGCTAAACAGCAGAGAGTATCTTCTCTATGAACAGAGGAGAAACTGGAGAAAGAGAGTAACAACTGGAGAATGAAGCAGCCAACAAATGGCTGTTAGATAAAGTAGGAAGCTGCCATCTGAGAACCTGACACTACTACTTGGGGAAATTAGCTATAAGCCTCCCAAGACACAATATCTATCTTCATTCAAATAACACTCCGGCACTCCATTATAATGCAGGGCTATGAGAATTAGGTTGAGTGCCATTTTCAGATTGGCTCACAGTGGCGGCAGTTTTGGAAGAACTCTACAATGAAATCATTTTTCTTCATATCACCAGCAGCTGTTGGAGAAATTGAAGAGTAAAAGTGTATATTGTTTAATCTTTAGGCTTGAATAGCCACTTGTGTCCTGCACACGGAGCCTTTTGGTTCAGAGGAACTGTTTCTATCATCTGTAAAGTCACAAGACGATGAAAGAGATGCCTTCAGACAGGAGCATGCAAAAGTCATTTGGACTCACAGGATAAGGAAACTATTCACATCACTTATAAGCAAACTCAGTTACAGTGTAAATATACATATAGCATAAGGGGGATGCTAACTGTGTGAATTTACACGCATGTCACTAATTTGTGAGCACCAACGCGACTCGCATTTTTTATAAAAATGTGTGTCTGTGCTTATGTTTGCATTGTAAAGGCTTCCAAATAGTTTTGGTGAATTCTTGCTATTGTTAGATTGAAAAGCCGAAGGCAAGCGAGCCAGAAATACACCACCGGAGGCCAAGCTGAATTATACGTTAGCGTAGCATAATGGTGTGGTCATCAGATTACTATACAGAGCAAAAATAAGCTGCCCGTCATGGGCGCTCACATAGTGTCTGGATATAATGGTGCACGTGTTAATAAAATGTTTTGTGGCAAAAAGTGGTTTACTCGGCTTTGATCGCAGAGTTGGATTTTGCATTTTCCAGCTATGCTCCTTGTAACTAAGACAAAAAGTCTGGGGAGCAAAATGTGTTTCAGCAAGCAAGAAGGGCTAATGTAGTGAAGTCACAGTTGCTCCTGGTTTTACTTTGTCTGATCTGATCTAAAGTGCAAGAATTTCAAGAAGCAACACTCAGGAGAGAGTAGCTCTTCCTCAGGCAATTTTCTTTCCTGCTGCCTTTCAAATAGCGCCTGATTACCACAGCGACAAAACAACAGGTGATTTGGCCACTAATTTTTGTGAAGCCCTCAATTATGTCTTTATGACCTGAATGGAAGAGAAGATAAGAGTCCTGAGGCACTATCACACCCCCCACCGCCACTCTAATTCGGCTGCCACTGGACAAGGGCACATTTTTTTACACATCAAGCCAATTTACAAAACCACACACTCCTTGGAGACGACAGCTTGTTTCGATTTGCAATACGTCTCATGAAGTTAATAGCTGTTATTGTGGTAATTTTCCATTTGTTTTATGGCTTTAAAGTAACTACAACAAACACATCATTTAGAGTGGTGACAAGAAAATGTGATTTCTCTTCAGGCCAAACACCAATACTCAAGTAAATAAATTATTATGAAATTCTATCACCTGAAACATTAATATGAAAAACGATCATGTGTGTCATTAAACAAGACAGAGCAGATAGTTGAATATCAGCTTTCCTGCAGAGTGCATGTGTAAATGTGTGTGCACGTGAACCTTTGGCTTTCATGTTTAATGAATGCCTTGTCAGAAAAGACGGCGAGGGGGAACTGATGAGAGACTGTGCATGTGTGTGAAAGAAAAAGGCAGAAATGTGCGTGCACACACACACTCACACTATGAGGTACCAAAGAGGCCCAGTAATTAGATCCCCCCTCTTTATCAAGCCCTTACCTAGCACCATGGTCATGTAGCGCTCCTCCACTCCAGCCTCCAGCAGCAGCGGGGGCACGTATGTGATCCCAGCTGCCACACAGATCTCCAGGCCACAGGTCAGGGAGTTCAGCAGGACGAGACGCCACTGAGACCTCCATCCAGGCATATTTACGGGGGCTGGCTCGCCTTTCCTCCCCTCTGGGATGGCCACTACTGGGGGCAGGGGAGGGGGGAGGGCGCTGGACAGGGGCTCGGGGGGGAGTGCTGGGAGGCAGATGGTGCCCCAGTGGGACCTGAGGACTGTCGGGGAGGGACAGCAGCAAAGACACGCGGATGTCTCAGATGACCCGGAGGATTCATCCTCTTCTCAGCATTCTGGATCTGAAGAGGAGAGGAAACAGCTTTAGAGCAGCAAAGTGAAAGAAATGTTCCAGTATGACACACAGCTTTCACACAGCCTCTGCAGGGCCTTACAGTGTGTAATTTGCTGCCATTTGAGACTGTCAGAAAGTGTGAGTAAGGGCTGTGGCATGCCATGTTAGACAGGTCACTCCCAGGTTACTACACCTGGATGTCAGAGGCGTCGGTAACACAGGGGATGTCAGCAGTGACAGCTTTCTCACAACACAATCTAATCTGTGCAGATTCCAACAGACTTTCCAAGAACATGGAAATGGCAACAATAATTTAGAGGCAACGATATTGATGTATTCTCAGCTTCTCACAGACAGCTTCGGGGCAGCAGGAACAACAACAGCCCGACAAAGGAGATGAGTCAGCTGGAGCGACGTGGCAGCCATTGGCCAAGAGAGAGCTCTGTCTCCCTGTGCTGGTTTGCTTACTTTTTGCAGGGATTTAAAGAAAGTCAAAGTTTTATTTTCCACTCCTTCTGCCTTCTTACTATGTCTCCCTTTCACTTCTCCCTAGTAACACCAGCATTACTGGGTGGATCTAAAATCCACCCTTCCCTTGGCTGACCCTGTCATTATGTGTATTATTAAGCTCTGATTGCAGCTTTAGTCACATGTGGGAATCCTCCTTTCAGAAATTTTCAGCAGATTACTACCATTGTTGAGCGGAGTGCACACGAGACTGTCTTTGGCACCTGAGAAGACGCTCGCTGGAAAGAAAGTACAAAACTGGAGGGTTGATGAAGACACACATGTAGGGATAGTATTATACAGCATGTTTCCTCGTGCTTGAGTTAAGCTACACCAGACAGGCAAAGTCATCAGCGGTGTTGTCAAGATGGTGCCTTTCAAGTTGAGCTGCATCCATTCACACGTGACTCTGTGAATCCAGACAAAGCACCAAGGTGAACCACAACAGCTGTCTCCCTGTTATTTTCTGCTCACACTGGCAGACGAGTCAACCACACCTTAAGGGGATCAGTTTTCCAGTGACAATACCTGACATTCTCCATTACATGCCTTGTTGTAAAGCCACCAAGTGCTCATCCTCTCCCAGGTTACTCAAAATCTAGTCCTACTCTGTTGTGGTGATTGTAGTCTCTGGTATCGACAGATTTTTGATCCATTTGAAAAAAAGAATGTGTAGATTAAAGAAGTTACTTGCAGTGAACTTTATTAGAAACACAACATTTTAGCTGATTAAGGTCCAAAGACCACAATGTTGTATCTCCAATAAATGGAAATGCAGGTAAAAAGGACAGTGTGCAGGAGTTCTCTCTTCTCTTACCTATGGATATCTCCTCCTACGCACCTGTCTACGAGAAGCTGTAGGTGTGCATTAGCCTTTACTGTCAGAAACGAAAAAGCACAAAATGAGCCAGCCAACTAAGGTAATCCTCTGCTGATTTAAGGGTCAAACAGTTGGCATGGCTTTAATTCTGACAAGTAAAAACAGCCATTTTACAAAAACATTTAAGCTGAGGAGAAACAATGGCAACTTCAGGAAGCAACAAGTGCTCAGGAAATATATCACTGCATTGCAATCTGTGTGCATTTATGTACAGCTCTCGGCTTTATAGAGAGTAAAAATAAAACAAAAATAAAATAAAACCGAGGTAAGCATTATCGTCATCATCCACCAATGAGGTGTGTGTTCTTCTAAAGCAGAGGGGAAGAGCAGGAACGGTCAGAACAGCCGCAAACACAAAAACAACAAGGTGCTATATTTGCATTTGGTGTGAAATGTCTCTGCCAATGCTGCCCATCTGTTCTCTCCCAGCAAACAAAATGGATGTCATCATCTCTAACAAGACTTGGTTAATCACAGAAATGTGCGCAGCTATGTGTTCAGCCAGTATTTCAAGGACATGTGCATTGTTGGGAGAAAAAAAAATCTCTTCCGCTGGGAAATGTGTTAAAAAAGCTGATAAAGCGGCAAAACAGAAGACGTGCTATTTTCTGCAGAGACCGCAGTGGCTCGGGGCGTCAGGACTGGTCGTCCATCTGAAATCTCTCGAGCCGTCTTTATAATCGAAGACGTTAACTGAATGTCATCAACAATGCCGTCAGTAACTACCGGCATTCTGAGGCATTCATACATTCCCCGCTCAGTCATTATGAGTCCTTTGATATCGTGGCTCTTTGAGAATCTGAAGGACAATGCAACAGTGTTAGCAGGCTGGACCTATCAGGGGCCTGGGTCACTGAGAGAGAGGACCATTTCACACCCGTCACATCTCATTCCCGCCCAGCCTGGGCACATTGAAAGACACCCATCAGGGGAGCAGCCTCTGCCCCTCGGCCCGTCTGGCCACTACAACCCCCTACCCATAGATCCCCTGTATGTGTGTGTACGTTCTCCAACCCTCTCCTCTGCATTTCTTCCTCATCCTTCCTCAACCCCTGAGGTCAGCTTCATCTCTGACCTGCATTCTAAGAGGACCCTTTTGACATATCTGCCCACGACTGGCTATGCCGCTGTGGTTCTGACTCTCAGTGTGAATGCTTTCTGTTGCAGCCCCAGCTGACTCTTGTCAGATTTTCTCACTGAAAACAGAAGGGTCCCTGGTGGCAAGAAGAGACAAATCTGATTTGTCTACCCAAGCAGCCGCGGCTTGTCTGGACGCTCGCCCAAATGCAACGGCACATTTTAGTGTTTTGTAAATTGAATGGTTGCTTAAGTCTTGACCCGATTAGCATTGGTGAGTCACTGGGAGGATGGAAGGATTGAAAGACGGTGGCAAAGATTAAATCAAACAGAACAAGCAGTGCAATGTGGCACTTAGTCATCCATTTATACACCTCAAAGTCAAATATAAAAATAAAACCCTATTGTTCATTATTATTCTATAACCAGTGTTTACAGTGCCGCCTAAAAGCAGCCTTTAAGCTCTTAAATGTGCGTTTTGGGGACAGAAGAGAGAAACGCACATAAAATGGCAACCCACACAGTCACTCCGCCGCTTGCTTAATGACACCTCTGACTCCACAATGTATTCCAGTCATGCCCTCCACCTCCCAACAGCCTTGGAGACACAAACGCACACTAAACAGCCCTTCTGCTCACCTTACGTGTTTAAACACTACAATCTGAGCTGGGCTGCTGACATTCAGGAGGTGGAGGGCGGCTGCTTCTGCCAGCTCTCCCGTTGCTCCATTACCAAACCCCATTCAGGCAACCCCCTCCTTCCAAAAAGAAAAAAATCAGTCCTAATGACTCTGAGCAGTATTCTTACAATACAAAACGGGCTTTGTGTATATTGTGCCAGAGAGAGTAATGTGATATAGTGAGGTATCAACTCCGCTTTTATTGCTGCAGGGTTCATATGGGTGGTAGGATCCAGAGAGTAGGTGGGTGTTGGTGGGTGTTGTTGGGTCTCCCAGCAGACACCAGAGTCGGGAAGAGGAGAGAGAGGAAGGAATTGCTCTGGGATGACATCAGAGCCACAAACACAGTCGAGGCTGTGGTCGCAGAAACCTCAGCAGGAGGGTCTGGTTGTCTGTTTGGCTCAGGCTGAATAGCTGCAGCGCTGTGGCCTTTCTCTCCCTTTCAGTTCCTGCACATTAATGGACCCGGCCGTCTGCACGGAAGGACAGCAGGACCGGCCTTTATGCCGGCTGCTTGCCTGGCTTACTTCCTGAGAAACTTTCCCCCGTGGCTCTACTTCTCCGAGTAACCGGTTAAGATGGAGCGACCCTTGATGAACAGCAGACTGCTTGCGGCACTGCCGTAATATCACTAACTCAGCATTCTGTAACAGCGCCAACTTGGCATTGTCTTGGAAGTCGCGGAAAGAGGAACATCACTGTCATGATCAGAGGGCCCCAGTCAGAGCTCAAGATGTGCTCTGATCATATGTAGAACCCCTGCAGTCATAAGAGCCAGTTCAAATGTACCTGATGACTACAATAAAACCATTTCATTACCAGACTCGCACACACACTCAGACTGTGTTCTACATCTGATACGAGGATGACTAGAATTCTTTGATGAACCCAGAAAAATCCCTGCATTCAGTTTTATTTCCAAACATGCCCTTTTTCATTTACAATCTAGAACTTGAGTAGCTTTCATCTCTTGTTCCTTAAACGGCAATTCAGCTGCTTCCATTGCATTAGACATCAACTGATATATCAGCTGCTTTCACGTTCTAAAAATTCAGCTAAGTGGTTCATCTGTTTTCAGCTCCTCGTTCATCTACCCCCCCACAGGATTACATAAACACAAACACTCTGCTGCCTAAACTAGGAGTTGGAACTTTTTAAATGCTTTTGGAGATAGCACTAAAACTCCCATTTAACACATTCTGACAGAAAGTGAGGTAAATTCTTCCCTTGCATCATTTGGATAAATTTGCAAATACCCATTTGTGTGTATTCACCCCAAACAGACCATTTACCAACTGTTCATTAGCTGTTTGCAAAGTAGAAGTAGACGTATCAGCCGTGTGTACGTGCTTCTGTTCAACTTACTTCAGCCGAACTCATCAGAAATCTGCTTGTTTTTCTGCTGCAGACTCTCGTTTTCCACTCATCTTTGTACATTTATGAAGAACATTCAAAAAGCCCAGGGATATGTGCACATATTTTTAAGTTGAATCGTTTTAAGCTCACGCGAACACGTCTTTGAGTCACTTAGCACCGCAGACGGCAGACTGCTTCTAATTGTGTTTTTATAGTGAATCGTGCAAAACGGTTGCATTTGAAATGATTAAACAATAATGAAACGATGCCTTTCGATGGTTACAGCTACATA